AATAATAATAATAATAATAATAATAGCGGAGTTAAGGACATGCCCACCTGTACCATTGTGTGTTTTGGTTGTGATGTGTTCGGAGCTGCGAGAAAGTGAATCCATTTTTCTTTTACTCAAATTTTTTTTTTTTTTTTTATTGTAAATATCATAAAATATAATATTCGTCAAGTATTTTTGTTTAATGTTTCGTTATTCTTTTGAAAAACCCATATACTACATGTATACAAACCTATAAATTTGTGGATAAGATCTTATTGCTCATAAATTAAGGGTGTTGCAACAGAACACACACACACACACACACACACACACGAACACACACACACAACACACACACACACAAACACACAAGAACACACACACACACACACACACACACACACACATTTATGAAGAATTATGAATATTTTACACTAATTTTCGTTTCCTGTTAATACGTTAATCTTTTTAACTTAAATCCTTTACTTAATTTATTACCTGTATAATTAAATATACACGAAATCAGTTACAGGTACAGATGAAATGTGTTCCTACGCCACCTATGGAACCTATGTCTCAAACGGCCAACCTATTGACCTATAAACCTATATCCATAATCACGCCTGTCGTTACACGACCAATACCCATTCATTCTTAAACAGTGATACTACTACTGCAACGGTGCTGTTTGGGGCACACGTGTTACCACAGATTGTGTTAAACACATTTCTAACTGTATGGATATTTTTTCAATATGACTAAGGTTTAGATTATAAACACTAACATTGTCAGGTATAACACTGAGTCTTGCTGACCAGTCCAGGATGGTATGGAGTTTCACAACTGTTCTAACTACCGCAACTGACACAACCATCCATCACCCCTCCGTCTATCAACCATTACCCTCACGTCTGTCAATATCGCCCTTCCGTAACAACCATCCATTACCCCTCCGTCACCTCATCACCCTTCGTAACAACCATCCTACCCCTCCGTCCACAACCCTCCATCACCCTCCGTCACAACCATCCATCACTCCTGAAGTTACTAGTGTGCCCTGAAAGAATGCAGTGATAGGTGAAACTGCTGTAACACTGAGTCCGTTTATTGTGGATGAGAAATACAGTGTTGACCAGCGTGTGCCGCTCACAGTCGATCTGAGCTGCCTTGCCATATGGCGGCCCTCGGGGCGTACTTACATAACACGCAGTGTTGCCACGTGATAGTTTTAAATGCTATCGGCACAGTGGCTTATGTACAGGGTTGCTACTCGGCACAGTAAGCAGATACCCTTAACCTACAACTCCTCCCATCACAACCATGCATCCTCTCCACATCACAGCAACCATCACCCTCCGCATCCTAGCCATCCTCCACCCTTCCGTCACAACCATCCGTCACTCCTCCGTCACAACCATCCAGTCCTCCAATATATACACTGTACTCATCACTTCTCTGGTAGACCTCAGCCAACTTTTCAGTATTACTCTACCCTTGACAAACTTTGCTACATAACATTACCTTTTAAAACTTTCCCTCAGAGAACTAGACAACGAATAAAAGGTTTGTGTTTGATATTAATGGTTATAGATGTGTTTAGTTTTTCTTTTATATTTGATTTGTGTTTGTGACGGCTGTGTTTCATCTGGAATAGTCAAATAAAATATTAAAAGTGGCGTCCAGTATTGAGAGGGGTTAATGGGGATAATCTCTTTAAAGTTAGGTAAGTCATGAGATAAATAAAATATTGATTCGGTAAATTTGATTTTATCAGTTTTTCATATAACGTGAGATGTTACTTTTAATTAGGAAAAGGTTATTATGAAATTATTACCTGTAGAGTGTATTGTTTCTTCATATTAGAAACATATAAGTATTCACTGTTGCATCTTGTGTTCATCGGAGGGTTTTTCATCTGTTCAACATGCTGTACTACCTCACCTGTACACAATGTTCTCGGTAACTGCCTTCATCACCTGGTATTTTACCTGTCCACGTTAGTGTATCCCTTCCTTCGCGCATGGTTTGCACTGTGCTACGCATTTTCTTAAGTTATATAACACTATCTTCTCTCACCTGTGGTGACTTAGTTTACTAATCGTATTGCCCTGGTTGTGTTGGTTTGTTGTTGGTTGGGTTGTGTTAATGACTCGTGTTCTTCCAGGTAACATGGCTCGTGCAAACACACCTTGCAGTTAATGACTCGTGTTCCCCAGGTAACATGGCTCATCTGAAACACCTGTAGTTAATGATTCGTGTTCCCCCAATGTAACAACCTATATCTGAAACACAAGCAGTTAGCTCTCCTTTCCCCTTCCATTACATTTTCCTCTTAGTGGATGTCTCTTTATAACGACTTCTCAGTAATGATCTCTGTGACGACCTCTTAATAACGTTCTCAAAGTTTAACGACCTCTCGGTGACGACCTTTCATTATCGACCTCCCAGTACATCCTCCAGTACCCTCCAGAGGTGTCTCCCCAGCGCTCTTGTGGTCAACTTCTTGTCGGTTAGATTATTGTATAACATTTTTAATAAATACATCAGCTATGTATTGGAGACAAATTACAAATGGTTCTGGTGACTCTTGAGGGCGGTGATAAATAGACCATTTTTGAGATACCTGCTCATAATATGTCCTGAAGGTGTATCTTTAGTTGTGTGGTGTGCAGCTGCAATTTATTCCCTGAAGATGTATCTTAGCTACACTTTGACCTTGAGTGTGTGACAGCTGCACTGGCCTTGGTGTCTTACAGCTCACTGACCTTGGTGTTGACAGCTACACTGTGGCCTGAAGGTGTATCTTGCTGCTTCAATTTGGCCTGAGGTGTATCTTACACTGCACTGACCTGAAGATGTATCTTACAGCTACACTTTGGCCTGAGGTTGTATGTTTGCAGCTACACTATGGCCTTGGAGGTGTATCAGCTGCACCTTGGCCCTGAAGGTGTATCTTGACAGCTGCAATTTGACCTGAAGTTTTGGTTGTTTGTGGGTGTATCTTTACAGCTGCACTGTAGCCTGGTGTATCGTTACAGCTGCACTTTGACCTTGAAGGTGTGTGTGACTTAGCTACTATGGCCTGGTTTCCGTGTGAAATGATTAAGGTATCTTACAGCTTTACTTTGACCCTGAAGGTGTATCTTACCTTTACTTTGACCTGAAGGTGTGATGACAACTGCACTTTTACTCAGTTTATCTATAGTAGTGACTATGTAGCCTCAAGCTGCTGCCGTGATATGTGGTTGTCTCTTTGTGTTGACTCTGAAGGTATACTGTGGTTGTGGGTCCCCCCCTCTCTCGGTCCTCAATAGAATGTACAGTTGAGGAAGTGACCCCTCTAATTGTGGTAGTACGTTTGTCTGCATAAACAAGATGTCACGGTTTCCGGTTTAGTAGTGTCAGTTGTTTGAATAATTATGTCTGAATTCGTGTTACTAGCATGGGGTACCTGTGTAAATATTAATTGGGAATTTGTATTTAATGTATATATTATTTATGATATTAATATATTTATTATACATATACATTTATATTTGTATATATATGATATATATATGGATATATATTTATGTGTTTACATGTTGGGGATGTAATATTTGTTATATTATAAGTATGTGATATTGGGGTTTATATAATATATATATATATGTAGTTATATATGTGTATATATATGATGAGTGTATAAATTTGTAGTATGTATGTATGTGAGTATTTATATATATATATATATATATATATATATATATATATATTAATTATAGGTTGGCCGTTTGGGCACAGTTGCCACAGGGGGAGGAAGGCTTCTTGACACTGATGTTGCCACTGTCAGCACCGGTCGTGTTCCTGTAGCACCAGTCGTGTTACCACTGTGTCAGCACCAGTCATGTTACTACTGTGTCAGCACCAGTCATGATACCTGTGTCCCTTAGTCATGTTACCACTGTGTAGGCACCAGTCATGTTCCACTGTGTCAGCATCACTCATGATACCACTGTCAGCACCAGTCATTATTGCTACTGTGTCAGCACCAGTCATGTTACCACTGTGTCAGCACCAGTCATGTTACCACTGTGTCAGCACCAGTCATGTTACCTCTGTGTCAGCACCAGTCATGTTACCACTGTGTCAGCACCAGTCATGTTACCACTGTGTCAGCACCAGTCGTGTTACCACTGTGTCAGCACCAGTCGTGTTACCACTGCGTCAGCATCATCGCTGATACCACTGTCAGCGCAGTCGTGTTACTACTGTGTTAGCATCAATCATGTTACCACTGCGTCAGCACCAGTCATGTTACCACTGCGTCAGCACCACTCATGATACCACTGTGTCAGCACCAGTCGTGTTACTACTGTGTCAGCACCAGTCATGTTACCACTGTGTCGCACCAGTCATGTCACCACTGTGTCAGCACCAGTCATGTTACCACTGCGTCAGCACCAGTCATGTTACCAATGTGTCACCACCAGTCATATTACCACTGTCAGCATCATTCATGATACCACTGTCAGCATCAGTCGTGTTACCACTGTCAGCACCAGTCATATTACCACTGTGTCAGCACCAGTCATGTTACCACTGTGTCAGCACCAGTCATGTTACCACTGTGTCAGCACCAGTCGTGTTACCACTGTGTCAGCACCAGTCATGTTACCACTGTGTCAGCACCACTCATAATACCACTCTCAGCACCAGTCATGTTACCTGTGTCAGCACCAGTCATGTTACCAATGTGTCGGCACCAGTCATGTTACCAATGTGTCAGCACCAGTCATGTTACCAATGTGTCAGCGCAGTCATGTTACCACTGTGTCCTTTCCAGCCATGTTACCACTGTGTCAGCACCGGTCATACCACTGTTGTCGGCACCAGTCATGTTACCACTGTGTCAGCACCAGTCATGTTACCACTGTGTCAGCACCAGTCATGTTACCACTGTGTCACCACCACTCATGATACCACTGTGTCAGCACCAGTCGTGTTACTACTGTGTTACTACTGTGTCAGCACCAATCATGTTAACCACTGTGTCAGCACCAGTCATGTTACCACTGCGTCAGCACCAGTCATGTTACCAATGTGTCACCACCAGTCATATTACCACTGTCAGCATCATTCATGATACCACTGTCAGCATCAGTCGTGTTACCACTGTCAGCACCAGTCATATTACCACTGTGTCAGCACCAGTCATGTTACCACTGTGTCAGCACCAGTCATGTTACCACTGTGTCAGCACCAGTCGTGTTACCACTGTGTCAGCACCAGTCATGTTACCACTGTGTCAGCACCACTCATAATACCACTCTCAGCACCAGTAGTGTCAGCATCAGTATACCTCATGTAACACCATAAGGTTAACAACACTCAACAGTCATCTCATCATCTTACATCAACAACAACCTTACAAACCTTCCATCATCTCCACCTTCATCATCACATTAACATAAAACACACAGTCTGAACAATCACAATATCTACTATCAATATTTTTTTCCTTACAAATTTTATCGTGGTGCATTACAGCTTCGTCACGTCTGATTAATTTCTCTTTCACAAACTGTGTTCCGGCTGCCTGGTCTCCGTCCTCTTAAAGGTTAACTTATATCTCGGTCTCCTTCACCTCAAGAGCCACTTGTGGTTCTCTCTCAACTTACGCTGTGATTGACTTCTAGAATGTTAAATGATCTGTATCGGGGAAACGAGTTGAGGAAGGAAAACAAATACAGGGTGTCCATAAATGATTACTCTAAAAACAGTAGGCTAGTTTGTGAGTGTGTTAGCTGGTCTGGTGTTTGCTGTGTTTCAAATGGCTGTTTCTGCTGTACCCACAGTATATAATGCCACTATACAGTTTTGTTTTTTACACTATAACTCTGAAAACTAGGGTCAAATCGTGCAAATCACGGTTTGACTGTAACACAATACTATTTAAGAAAAATATCACCAATGTGCCGACTCACATCTTTCCTTCAATAGGATATTTCGAGGAACACTATTTACATCAGTTACAAAGTAAAGAAACAAAACAAAATTAGTACAGCTGAGCACAGTAAAAATTAATGTAATATTCCCTAACGATAAGCCCACTGATGAATGAATGTATATATATATATATATATATATATATATATATATATATATATATATATATATATATATATATATATATATATATATATATATATATATATATATATAACGTGGGTTTCAATGTTTCAATTAAGACTATGAAGAACAATAGGTGGGATCTTACACAGGCAGGCCAGTAGTAGGAAGTAGGCAGCTACCAATCAGGGAGGTACTACCGCCTGGGAAGATATTGGAAGCATAATGTGTTGACTAATGGTAGATCCTGTTCCCATGTAACATCACGAAAATTGTAACCAAGTCCCAGGTTGATGACCTGACTTTCTGCCACATTTACACACAATTGCAGGGTCTCAATTGTTTCTCTTACTTTGACAACACAACATACATACAGTATATCGTTTCTCACTACTGATATTTTTGTTTATTATAATTTTATATTATAATATATTTATCTAATATTTGTTATATTTTTTATTAATATTTTTAATTATATTTTTTATTTCATATTTTTTATAATTTTCTATAATTTTTTATTAAATATTATTATTAGTATTATTATATTTCCGCCCCCAGGCCCTAATGTGGGTCAGTGACCTGTGTTCTGGTGGGCTAATCCCGTAAAAAAAGGCCACTGGCCGCCTTCCCTAGGCATGGACACCTCTACAGCATTTGTTTGTTTTTTTACGGGGATTAGCCCACCCGGGCACAGGTTACTGACCCACATAGGGGCCTGGAGGGCGAATTTGTAATAATTATTCATCGTAAATAAATTTTATAATACAAATTTAAATAAAATAATAATAACAATAATAATAATAAAGAACGATAAAGGAATACAAAAAATGCTGATGTATGTTGTGTTGTCAAGTAAGTGAAACAATTGACACCCTGCAATTGTGTGTAAATGAGGCAGAAAGTCAGATCAGCAACCTGGGACAGCAGGGTCTGCCATTGGACAACAAGCTGTGCCACCCTCCCCAGGCGGCATTGCCGTACTGCCAGCGCCAGCTGTACCGCCGCGCCAGCGTGCCGCAGCGCCAGCCGTACCCGCCGCGCCAGCCGTACGCCAGCGCCAACCCGTACGCCGCGCCAACCGGCGTACCGCAGCGCCAGCGTACGCCGCGCCAACCCGTACCGCCAGCGCCAGCCGTACCGCCGCGCCAGCGCACCAGCCGCGTACCGCCCGCGCCAGCCGTACCGCCAGCGCCCGTACCGCCGCGCCAGCCGTGCCGCCGCGCCAGCCCCGTACCGCCCGCGCCAGCGCTACGCAGCGCCAGCCGTACCGCCCGCGCCAGCGTGCGCCGCGCCAGCCGTAGCCAGCCGCCGCGCCAGCCGTACACCCGCTCATCGCGCCAGCCGTACCGCCGCTCCAGCCGCGCCAGCCGTACCGCCGCTCCAGCGCCAGCCGACCACCGCCTGCTACCGTACGCGCTCCAGCAGCGCCAGCCCGTGCCGCCCGCTCAGCCGCGCCAGCAGTAGCCCGCCGCTCCAGCGCGCCAGCCGTACCGCCGCTCCAGCCGCGCCAGCCGTACCGCCGCTCCAGCGCGCCAGCCGTAGCCCGCTCCAGCGCGCCAGCCGTACCGCCGGCTCCAGCCGCCAGCCGTACCGCCGCTCCAGCCGCACCGGCTGGGTACCCCGCTCCCGGCCAACCATCTACCACCGCTGCCAGCCGCATCCGCTCAGCCGCGCCAGCGTACCGCGCTCCAACCGCGCCAGCGTACCGCCGCTCCAGGCGCCAGCCGTACCGCCGCTCCAGCCGCGCCAGCCGTACCGCCACGCCAGCCGTGCCGCCGCTCCGCCGCGCCAGCCGTGCCGCCGCTCCAGCCGCGCCAGCGGTACGCCGCTCAACCGCGCCAGCCGTCCCGCCGCTCCAGCCGCCAGCGTACCCGCCGCTCCCGGCCGCGCCAGCGTACCGCCGCTCCAGCGTACCGCCGCTCCAGCCGCGCCAGCGTACGCCGCTCCAGCCGCGCCAGCGTACCGCCGCTCCAGCCGTCCGCCGCTCCAGCCGCGCCAGCCGTACGCCACTCCAGCCGCGCCAGCGTACCGCCACTCCAGCCGCGCCAACCGTACCGCCCGCTCAAGCCGCGCCAACGCGCGCTCCAGCCGCCAGCCGTACCGCCGCTCCAGCCGCAGCTGTACCACCGCTCTGGCCACACCAGCTGTACCACCGCTCTAGCCACACCAGCTGTACCACCGCTCTAGCCACACCAGCTGTACCACCGCTCTAGCCACACCAGCTGCACCACCGCTCTAGCCACACCAGCTGCACCACCGCTCTAGTCACAACAGCTGTACCACCGCTCTAGCCACACCAGCTGTACCACCGCTCTAGCCACACCAGCTGTACCACCGCTCTAGCCACACCAGCTGTACCACCGCTCTCTCTCGCTACTCTTCCACTAGTCTACACTGAGGCGTATACACATAAGTGGGAGCAGCACCCAAAATGTAAACAAGGATTATGTTTTGCCCGCCAGCCGCAGGTAACCGAGTTGTCTTTCTCTTTGCTCATCACAGGCACTCGAGTTATTATTTCCAGGCAGCTGACACTCCTCCTCTCTGGCGTCCCGCTGTGAAGAATATTGAGTCGAAGCTCTGGTCAACAAAATACTGTACTAAGAGTTACAATACACTTGGTATAATAAGAACCTTGTATTGGTAACTCTGAAACACTCGCTGAATTAATCTTTTTCCTCTGTAATCTGATACACTAAATGATCTTTTACTGAAAGGTGAACTGGATGGATGGAGATAATAAAGAGATACTACCACGGAAAAATACCGTACAGTTCAGTTAAGAGAACGAAGCCGAGGGGGCAATAACACTCTCACCACATCCACCACTACCACCATCCACCACTACCACCATCACCACTACCACCACCACCCACCAACAGTAATACATACTCTCTATACTGGGTTTTTTCAGAGTAAGCGTCATATTTATTGGTTACTTCTAAGGTGGGTCGGGAGACCAATAGGGAATCAACATGTTTGGTGGATTACATGTAGTGCGGGAGGGGCGGTGGCGGCATCCTCTCGACGTTCGACTTTATTTACCTCGGCGTCTACTCGATCAACATAAGTGTTCACAAGCATCACAATTTGGGGTGATAAGTGTCCCAGGTGAGAATGTCAAGTAGTTATTTTTTTTTAGGTCAGTTTTAAATGTATCCTTGTATCTCTTCCGTCTCACCGTCAGCACAATGTTTACCATTCATTATATGACTGTAGAGTAGCTGGGAGTACCGTGGCCCGTCCAGCGTAATAGGACCAGGATAATGTCGGTCTCAGTGCTCTAAAAGTTGAGTCAGTAAGGGTAATACTGTCCCTGTTGATGAAGTTAAAAGCCTCAGTGCGTCGATTAACACCACCTACAGATCACAGTACTGTTCTCTACTGCTCTCTTGTCCAGTATTTGGCAGCAGGCAGCGAGGATCATGTCAACGGTGCCGCGAGACGGTCTAAAGCTGCAGTGGGAGTCCGGGAGAAAATCTTCCGGCTAATGGGGTGTGATCCTGTAGTGTAAATAACAGCACACACACCACCAAGAGCAACAACTACACACACTACAACCACCACCACCACCACCACCAACAGTGTACACTCCACAACCACCAACAATAACAATGTACACGCCGCCACCACCACCACCAACTACACAATCTACAACCACCAACAATAACAATGTACATGCCACCACCATCAACAGCAACTACTACACACTCTACAACCACCACCAACAACAACAGCGTACACTCCACAACCACCAACAATAACAATGTACACGCCACCACCAACTACACCATCTACAACCATCAACAACAATGTACACTCTACCACCACCTATTTCCCCGGCGTCCTTCACTCTCCTTATAACATTTTAAGTCTACTCGCGCCAACTGTGATAACGTTTTGTATTTTTAACACCTTAATGATAATGGTATATGCAATAGCTCTCTCTCTCTCACAGACGACAAAACCCAAGGCTAAACACCACGACTCCACAGAGAAACCTAACTACCGGCCCTTTACAGGAAAATTAACACCACATTAGAGTAGTGTCGCCGCACAATGATATTATCACAAAAAGTTGCTCCACCGAGACGCTACCAACCGTTAAGACTGGGTACAAAGGAAAGCTATTTCAGTGTGGAGTTTTAACATGAAAGGGGAAAATTTGGTAGAAGAGGAATGTTGCCTCAAAAGAATGTGACTTGGGATTATTGCAAGAAAACGCGGTTGGTGCCTTGAGGGAACATTATTATTGTGGATATCACCAGTGTGTGTTATTACTTCTGACGAATATTGCTACATGGAGGGAAGAATGGTTGGGTGACAATGTTTATTTTCAAGTAATATTAGGAGTAATATTTATTACTACAAGTGGGAGGAAAAGCAAGTGGAGAGGGAGAGAACAATAACTATGGACCCATGTACACGAGATTAGAAACAGAAAGAAAGTGTAGCTGTAAATACTTAGAATAAGTATAATATGATACTTATATTCAGAATTAGCATTGGAAGATAATATAGAGTTAAAGGAGCTCTTACTTAAGGAGTGGTTGTAATTAGAGGTGTTGTATGTCAGTTTGGTGATGAATAACTGTCTTATGATTTACACAGTTTGCTGGACAGGGTGATCTTACGCCCGTCAGCCTGGCTTTCCCAAAGCTTTTTTCCCTTCTAATCCATCTGTCAGCAACTTTGGGAAAACCATCTTGATTTTCTTTTGTGAAATATTTCCTAAATACATAGATCATTTCTTTAGTTAATGTCTAAATTTCTCGATGACTTATGTATGTATATCATTTGAACCAAATTATTATTATGTATACTATCTTAGTGCCACAAAAGCCAAGGTCATATGGCACCGATCTTCAACCCAAATGTTGTCATTTCATCATCTGTAACTTTAATATTCACTTATTCACTTTATATCTTGGTGCCTTATTTCCTCCAACTTCCCGCCGTCTGCTGATAAACCTCAACTTCTTACTTTTTCTTCGTCCACTTTTAGCTGAGTTTCTCTTCCTCGTCTGTGTTGTTCCCTTCCCACCACCAGTCACCGTGGGTGTTGTTCCCCTCCCACCACCAGTCACCGTGGGTGTTGTTCCCCTCCCACCACCAGTCACCGTGGGTGTTCCTCCCCTCCCATCAGTCACCGTGGGTGTTGCTCCCTTCCCACCACCAGTCACCGTGGGTGTTACTCCCTCCCACCACCAGTCACCCGTGGGTGTTGCTCCCCTCCACCACCAGTCACCGTGGGTGTTGCTCCCCTCCACCACCAGTCACCCGTGGGTGTTGCTCCCCTCCACCACCAGTCACCGTGGGTGTTGCTCCCTCCCACCACCAGTCACCGTGGGTGTTACTCTCCTCCCACCACCAGTCACCGTGGGTGTTACTCCCCTCCCACCACCAGTCACCGTGGGTGTTACTCCCCTCCCACCACCAGTCACCGTGGGTGTTACTCCCCTCCCACCACCAGTCACCGTGGGTGTTCCTCCACTCCCACCACCAGACACCGTGGGTGTTGCTCCCTTACCACCACCAGACACCATGGGTGTTGCTCCCTTCCCACCACTAGACACCGTGTGTGTTCCTCCCTTCCCACCACCAGTCACCGTGGGTGTTACTCCCCTCCCACCACCAATCACCGTGGGTGTTACTCCCCTCCCACCACCAGTCAACCGTGGATGTTGCTCCCCTTCCACCACCAGCCACCGTGGGTGCTACTTCCATCCCATCACCAGCCACAGAGGTAGTTACTCCCCTTCCACCACCAGTCACCGAGGGTGTTACTCCCCTTCCACCACCAGACACCGTGGGTGGTACTCCCCTTATACCAGTCACCGTGGGTGGTATTCCCCTCCCACCAGACTCCGTGGGTGTTGCTCTCCTCCCACCATTCACCGTGTGTTACTCCTCCCACCACAACCTGTCACCGTGGGTGTTACTCCACTTCCACTACCAGACACCGTGGGTGGTACTCCCCTTACACCAGTCACCGTGGGTGGTATTCCCCTCCCACCAGACACCGTGGGTGTTGCTCTCCTCCCGCCAGTCACCGTGGGTGTTGCTCCTTTCCCACCACCAGACACCGTGGGTGCTGCTCCCTTCCCACCACCAGACACCGTGGGTGCTACTCACCTCCCATCACCAGTCTCCGTGGGTATTACTACCCTCCCACCACCCGTCACCGTGTGTTACTCCCCTCCCACCACCAGTCACCGTGGGTGTTCCTCCCCTCCCACCAGTCACCGTGTGTTACTCCCCTCCCACCAGTCACCATGTGTTACTTCCCTCCCACCACCAGTCACTGTGGGGTTCTTCCCACCACTAGGTCACCGTGGGTGCTACCCCCACCACCAGTCACCGTGGGTGTTGTCCTCCCACCACCAGTCACCGTGGGTGTTGCTCCCTCCCACCACCACCGTCACTGTGGGTGTTACTCCTTCCCACCACTGTAGTCACCGTGGGTGTACTCCCCCCACCAGTCACCGTGTGTTACTCCTCCCACCACCAGTCACAGTGTGTTACGCCCACCACCAGTCACCGGGTGTTACGCCCTCCCACCACAGTCACCGTGGGTGTTGCCCTCCCACCACCAGTCACCGGGTGCCCCTCCCACCACAGTCACCGTGTGTTTCTCCTCCCACCACCAGTCACCGTGGGTGCTCCCTTCCCACCACCAGTCACCGTGTGCGTGCTCCCTCCCACCACCAGTCACCGTGTGTTACGCCCCTCCCACCACAGTCACCGTGGGTTCTCTCCCACCACCAGTCACCGTGTGTTGCTCCCTCCCACCACCAGTCACCGTGTGTTGCTCCCCTCCACCAGTCACCGTGTGTTACCCCTTCCCACCACCTAGTCACCGTGTGTGTTGCCCTTCCCACCACCAGCGTAGTGTGTTACGCCCCTCCCACCAGTCACCGTGTGTTACGCCCTCCCCACCAGTCACCGTGGGTGTTACTCCCTTCCCACCACAGTCACCGTGGGTGTTGCCCTTCCCACCACCAGTCACCGTGTGTGTACTCCTCCCACCAGTCACTGTGTTACTCCCACCACCAGTCACCGTGTGTGCTCCTCCCACCACCAGTCACCGTGTGTGTGTCCTCCCACCACCAGTCACCGTGTGTGTCTCCCTCCACCAGTCACCGTGTGTTGCTCCCTCCCACCACCAGTCACCGTGTGTTACGCCCCTCCCACCAAGTCACCGTGTGTTACTCCCTCCACCAGTCACCGTGTGTTATTCCTTCCCACCACCAGTCACCGTGTGGCATCCCTTCCCCACCACCAGTCACCGTGTGTTACCCCCCCACCAGTCACACCGTGTGTTACTCCTCCCACCAGTCACCGTGTGTTACTCCCTCCCACCAGTCACCGTGTGTTACCCTCCCACCACCAGTCACATGTGTTACTCCTCCCACCACCAGTCACCGTGTTACGCCTCCCACCAGTGAACGTGTGTTACCCTCCCACCAGTCACCGTGTGTTACTCCCCACCACCAGGCCACTACAGGTGTTACTCCTCCACCAGTCACCGTGTGTTACGCCCTCCCACCAGTCACCGTGTGTTACTCTCCACCAGTCACTGTGTACATTCTCCCACCAGTCACACTGTGTTACTCCTCCACCACCAGTCACAGTGTGTCACCCTCCCACCACCAGTCACCGTGTGTTACGCCTCCCACCACCAGGTCACTGTGTGTGTACTCCTCCCACCAGTCACCGTGTTACTCCCCTCCACCACCAGTCACCGTGGTGCCTCCTACCAGTCACCGTGTGTTCCCTCCCACCACCAGTCTCGTGTTACTCCCCTCCCACCACTACCAGTCTGACTGGTGGATCTGTGCTGTCTCACAAATCAGTTAACCAGTGATATTGTCTGCACGCACGAGACCATGTAAACAAGAAGTACGGACCGTAATGTTTGTTTGTCGTATTGATAATTATGGATATGTTTAATCAACACAGGCCAATACACTGCAGGTAATGACGAAATCAGCGGATAATATATTGGTATACTGTACTGTATAGTGTATTGTGGTTGTTGTTATTTACTTTTAAATAAAAAAAGACTTTTAAAGTGGATAACTTTACATAACGCACAATCTTTTTCTTACCTATATTAATGAACCCGTGAAACATATGTCAGTCACAACTGCTGCTTGGGATATAATTATTTGTTCCGTCATCATTATCTTTTATTATATATGACAGGGATACAACTCGCTCCAAAAAAAAAAAGATTTTGTGAGACAATATGACACAAAGGACGAGGAATTTTAACAACCCTACCGAGACAACATGAGCTGCAGTCTTCATTTTGAAATTCATTGGACTACTCTGCAAAGATTCATTTTGGAGAGGACAAGCATGGCTAAAGCGTAAAACACAGCTACATAACTCTCCAACAGTCGCCTACGTACAAGTTGTCCAATAGGCTACTCCAAAAGAAACACAACTCTTCCTTCGCCATGTAAGATGTCAGCTTTAACTCGAATTAAATTATTCATAAGCACATTACCTGTTGGCTCTTGCTCCACAGGTATGACTTACATGGAGGCATATATTGTTTACCTCTAATTAACTTTCCCATTAGGAAGTCAGACATGAGGAGTTATGTTCGTAACCTGGTGATGGTCTTCTGATTCTTGACCGTGTTGTTGTTGTGGTTGTTGACCGTGTTGCTGTGGCTGTTGACAGTGTTGTTATAGTTGTTGACAGTGCAGATTGTATAAAACTGTTACGAATATATAAATTATTACGGTATCTGCTTACAATTTCTCTTTACTTTGACAATTTTCCGCCATAGTAAGATGTATATACTCGTATGGAAGAAAAATAGAAAAGTTTTCTGGCCACTAACAAAAATTTTATTAACCATGATACACGAATCATTATTCTTCACCGAGGTAATGACGCCCCCTCACCTGCCAAGCAACACACCTTATGTACCTGTGGTATAATACACGTTGATTGCATATTACAAAGCACAAAACCAACATCCCATTATTACCATCACATCAAACGAGAGATTTACCTACAGCCTTGTTATTAGATGTGATTTTTCTAGACAAAATTTTTCAAGGAAAATCTACAGCTACATTCAATTTCTTCTAATTTATAACTAAGCTGGATTTATTCATCAGTCTTGTAACTTCTATTCTGGCGACGAAGATTTACCAACTATACAAATAATTCTATACTGAAGCAATACGGAGAAATGAAGAAAAATAATACCAATTTCATTCACACTCAGAGGAAGATATTACACCTGTTACGCCGTCTCTTAATTTACTTAAATATCCAGGTTCTAGGCGTAACCAAACAAAAAGTGAAGTAAATTATAAGAGAATAAAAATAAGTAAAGTAAACCTTTAAGCATTTAATTGATTAAATATTAACACAATAAAGAGCCTCGTAGGCTGTCACAACAAATTGATTCACCATCGAAACTTTTAAGACACAAGTGATACAAAACATCGAAACATCAAAAGAATAAAAATAAAGCATTGGATTACGTTAACACTGCATAAACATGTAAAAACTATCACTGAAATTAACTTACGTGAAACAACACTGAATTACTTGAATACAACCAAGCAAATACTGATGGACACAAACAGAGACATAAATAGGTACTCACATAGATATACCACATTGGTGGCGACAGGAACAACACAAATAAATTAAGTTTAAGTAACAAGTGACACTCAAAGGATGTGTACTGTATGACAGGAGAATTGAACTGACTCAAGTCAGTTGGTGGGTCCTATATATAAGGTCGGCTCCCGCCACGCGACCCGCCGGTGGGTCGTTTAACGATGCAGATGGTCGTTAGAGAACAAAGAATGCTGGTTACAATACAAAATGAAGAAATAAGATGGGCTTGAACAAATAATGCCAGTTAAAACCTTAACAGCACAGGGTAAGGTGACTAGAATATATAATAGTAAATTTAACACATCATTACAGGAATAATATGGAACATGGGAGCATGTTATATATAAAAAAAAGAAAAAATACGACACGGTCGTAACACACCTTAGCCTACTGCTTCATCCACCACACATAATCATTGTCAGACCCACTCACTGTGCTGTCTCCGCCTGCTGCAAACACGTGTCGTCTCTCGCTACACACAGTTCATTAATTCCTCTAATATTCCTCACAGATTAAACCTGCATTTCAACACCCTAACACACAAACAACTTTTCCTTAATTTATTCTTATATTTACTTTAAATATAAATACAGCGTACCGGTACTCTTCTTTGTGTCACTTTTACGAATGAGGTTTGTGTCATCTATCTATTTATCGTGTCTCGGTTTTTCCATCATCACTTCCCAGCCTCCTTTACAATAACACCGCCGCTCAGCCTCCCCTACTATAACAGCGCCTCCCAGCCTCCCCTACTATAACACCGCCTCCCAGCCTCCCCTACTATAACACCGCCTCCCAGCCTCCCTTACTATAACACCGCCTTCCAGCCTCCCCTACTATAACAGCGTCTCCCAGCCTCCCCTACTATAACACCGCCTTCCAGCCTCCCCTACTATAACACCGCCTCCCAGCCTCCCCTACTATAACACCGCCTCCCAGCCTCCCCTACTATAACACCGCCTCCCAGCCTCCCCTACTATAACACCGCCTCCCAGCCTCCCCTACTATAGCACCGCCTCCCAGCCTCCCCTACTATAACACCGCCTCCCAGCCTCCCCTACTATAACACCGCCTCCCAGCCTCCCTACTATAACCGCCTCCCAGCGCCTCCCAGCCTCCCTACTACCTACTACACCTCTCCCCAGCCTCCCCTACTATACCACCTTCAGCCCTCCCAGCCTCCCCTCTACTATCAACACCGCCTCCCAGCCTTCAGCCTCCCCTACTATAACAGCGTCTCCCTCCCCTGCTAGCCTCCCAGCCTCCCCTACTATAACACCGCCTCCCAGCCTCCCCTACTATAACACCGCCTCCCAGCCTCCCCTACTATAACACGCCTCCCAGCCTCCCCTTACTATAACACCGCCTCCCCGGCCTCCCCTATAACACTGCCTCCCAGCCTCCTTACTATAACACCGCCTTCCAGCCTCCCCTACTATAACAGCGTCTCCCAGCCTCCCCTACTATAACACCATCCCAGCCTCCCCTACTATAACACCGCCTCCCAACATACTTGCCTTCCAGCCTCCCCTACTATAACAGCGCCTCCCTCCCCTACTATAACAGTTGTGCCTCCCAGCCTCCCCTACTAAGCCTCCCCTATTACAGCGCCTCCCCAGCCTCCCCTACTATATTGGTAATAAAGGTAGGCACATGACTGCTCATTTTCTCTTCATTTATTGGCTTACAATCATCGAGTAATTTAAAATTTCGAATGAAATAAGATCTATAGTAATTTCCTTTCCCACGCTCTCACTGAGGGGCTTAGCGGTTGGTCAGACAGACAGGTACCAGGCAGAGCCGCAGAAGTTGTTGGACAGGTAACAACAAATAATGTTATCATTTATCAATGTTATTAAATCCATAGCGCAAAAATATGAAATACAGTATTATTAAATAAGCATTCATTTACAGCCTATTGAATCATGTTCTTTACTGCATTTGTCAATTGTCTCGTTGAATCGTTTGACACACACACACACACACACACACACACCTGTCCATAACTATTTGGACTCCATGTGTGTTATATGTGCATATATGATTATTTTTACACATCTCCTACCTGCAGGTAAACCTGGTAGACTAGGGGGAAGCAGAAGTTCATAAGGATTCTGTAGAACTCTGGGCGACTGTTGGCGACTACACAGAAGGCATTCGAGAATCTTTCAAAAATTTTTCTTAATATTTTGTACTTACCCATTAGTAATGCTGACGTCGAACGAGTTTTCAGCCAGGTAAAAGTTATCAAAACTGAACTACGCAACAGCAGGGGTGGATCCAGGAATATTTAAAGGGCAGTCTTTAAAGTTGTGGGGGGGGGGGGAGGACCATGTGCACTTGATATTAGGAGATAATATGAGGTTAATAGTAATTATATTTTGCTGTACAAAAAGCCAGAGTACAATACTGCATTAAAGAAAAAGTATTGGAATTTTCTGATGAAAAAGGGGGGGGGGTCCGGACCCCCAGGACCCCCTCTTGATCCGCCCCTGAACAGAATGGGTCAAGAACTTTTATCGGCAATATTATATACAAGAAGTACCGTAAGTTGCCACTAAGGAGATGAAGCCAAAAAATGCAGGTGTCCTAACTGTCATCCCAGTGACAGTGTGGTGAAGGCAGTACAGGACATTTTATTTTATGGTAATTGTTAGGCACTTTGTGCACAATGCATCAGATTTGTTTTTCCCGGGTTTTATAAAACGATTAGGAGGGAATATGTTTCCATTCGTTTTTTGTCATTTAGTTCATAAGTGTCTGACAAAAAAATATTTACTATTTTCAACAAACAAACTGGTATAAAAAGAAGGACTTTGAATTTATTTTATGTTGTGTCTTCATCCGGTAAACTGGTAACAAACAATTTAACTTCCTTCAAAAATGTTATAAGAAAAAGTTTTCTTTGTCATATAGGAAGAGAATTCAGTGTTCATTCTTTGATTTACGTCTTTTTTTCTCTCAATAAACCATGTCACTAATCCACAGAATTAAATTTAAATTCCTTATAGTGACGATAATATTATTTATTATTTGTTATAGGAGTGTGAAACGGCAGGCTATAAGAGACATAATATTTGGGCTACATCTAAGGTCTCTGCCGCGCCCTTTGAGGGCTATCCACCGCGGTTTGGAAACAATGTTTTGGCAACCCTGCAGCCTAGGTGGTCGACACAGCGTCAACAACACTACACAACTATAAAGTTCCTCAGTGTTTGAACATTACTGTACTGGTATTTGTTTACTAATTTCAACTTCGACGTTAAATGTACAATTAAAGTCATTAGATGTGTTTGATAAAGCGCTGTCTGTCTCTTGCCTTACTGGTAAAACGTTGGACTATAGACATTAATATTATAGTGACAGCCCAATAACCTGCGTTACTTCAAACTAAATCAAGATGTTTTTTGGAAATTATTTTGTTGACATTAAACTATACGTTCTTCTTGCAGTTCTTTCCATGTTATGGTAATACTCAATGTTCTAACGATAACCGAAGGTGAACTTTTCAAGGTTACCAACATTTATACACAAAATTTAGTTTAAAAAAATTGTTTTATTCTTATAGACAACAGCGAACATTTTACTGGTTGATGATAGCCTCGTGTTTGTCAGCAAGTTTGTATACTTCATCACTTTGTTGGTTTGAGGTGACATGATAAAAGTTTTGACTGCAAGAGACTGTGCTTGAGGAGGGGGGGGGGGTATTTTAGACCATAGTTCGACAACCTCAATAATAAACGTCAATTGCTCTTTCTCGACGTTAAATACTCTTCCATGTATCCGATAACTATGTTTGTATTGTCCTATAAACACATGCGGAGTCGTATTACCTGTATATATGCAAAAATGTCCAAAACACAGTAGTCGTGGTTGTTCCCATCGTAGGGATTTCAGGGATAATTTTAACCTTTGATCATGAGGTGAAGGTTATCTTATTGTTTGTAAAATAAACAACAGGAACTGTACCTCTACTGTAAGTTTTATAATATACACAACAGTAAAAACTTCGTTAGTGTATATAAAGACATATTAGTGTCCAGAAAACAGGATTCAAGCTTTAGTAACATTGATCTTGGGTTCTGAACCAGACCAAGAACTCAATAGTGATTTTCCAAGTTATTCACACAGTATTATGTTCATCAGTTAACAGCAACTTGTATTATGGTCTGAAAACCAAAATTCTAATTTTTGTAGCGACCTTTGGATCAGTAGCCCCAGAATCAATAAGGAGTTTTCTCTCCCTTGGAGCAATGTACCTAAGCATTAACATGTTTCTTGGCCATGGAAACTCTTGTTACAGTTCGGCAGCTAAAAATGTTAAGAGAGGCAGCCATTATCCGCCCCGCTGTGTGCACCAAAAGAGTTAGTTAATGAACTGATCCTCGTCTACAGTAGCTGCCTGAGGTGTGCCAAGAGTAGCCTTAGTGGTAGTTGATAAAGCAAGTCCTCACACACCCTGTGGCTCTTACACACCCTGTGGTCCTCACACACCCTGTGGCTCTTACACACCCTGTGGTCCTCACACGCCCTGTGGCCCTTACACACCCGGTGGCCCTCGCACACCCTGTGGTCCTCACACACCCTGTGGCTCTTACACACCCTGTGGTCCTCACACACCCTGTGGCCCTTACACACCAGTGGCCCTCGCACCCTGTGGTCCTCACACACCCTGTGGCTCTTACACACCCTGTGGTCCTCACACACCCTGTGGCCCTTACACACCCCGTGGTCCTCACACACCCTGTGGTCCTCACACACCCTGTGGTCCTCACACACCCTGTGGCCCTTACAAATAGTTAACGGTTTATTGAAAGAGCTTGGCAGCCAGAAGGCTGAAAATATGCAGTTACATATTTGGGGAATGGGTTTCGAATTACAAATAATATACAAGTAACATAAGTGATACAAATAAGATATATAATAACTAGATGGGGAAAAGCTCAAACTACAGTGCATTTCAACTTATTGACAGTGCAAGAAGTAGTATTTACTGGGAGTGAATACACTGGTTTATTACAAGTTATTGATAATTTTTACAATAGTTGGGACTGGGCTGTTCTTATAGCGATCAGTTCGTGGTCGTATGGGCTGGAAGCGGTTGTGGTGTCGAACAGCAATTCTCGGGCTAGGGATCTCAGGTGGTAGTAGGAGCCGGTGTCGAGGATGGTATAGAAGCTTCTTACCAAATTTGCAGATGAGGTCGTGGTGATGATCAGTGAGAGTCGAAAGGGTCAGTGTGTTGAGCGCTTCGTGATATGTGGAGTAGGAAGGGGAGAGAATAATCTTGCATGCCCTCTTTTGCACTTTTTCTAGGTGTTTACGTTGTGTGGCATTTAGGGAGGAAGACCAGGTAGGGGAGGCATAGGTGAGCTTGGGAAGTATGAATGTTGTGTAAACACTGAGGAGCTCGGGTGCAGGAACTCCGAGGGACTTGAGTCGGCGGAGGAGGTGGAGACGGAAACTGGAGGATTTGACAACTTCACTGACGTGTGGTTTCCAATTTAGTTTGTTGTCTGTGGTGACGCCGAGGAGCTTCGTGGAATCTACAACCTGGAGTGTGTTCGGACCTAAAGTAATGGAAGGAGGTGGGACAATGTCGGAGGAGAGGTTGATGTGCATAACCATGGTCTTGGTATGGTTGATGGTGACATGGTTGTTGGTGGACCAGTTTTGGAGACTGTTCAATAAATCCTGAAGGGCGATATAGTTGGGAGCAGAATTGTTGACGCTGATCCCAATGGTGGAGTCGTCGACATATTTCCAGCGAGCAGGGGTTTCTCTTAGGGCATCATTGATGAGCATAAGAAAGCAGAGTGGTCCCATCTTGGTGCCTTGGGGGACGCCACAGGTGAGTGACTGAAAGGTGGAGACAGCCCCTCGGAAGCGTACAGCTTAGCGTCGGTCACTGAGGAAGTCTGTAAGCCATGGTATAAGACTTCTCCGAAGCCCGAGGTCAATAGCTTTGTTGGTGAGTATATTGTGGTCGACTAGGTCGAATGCTTTAGTGAAATCAATGAAGGCGACAGCTACAGACGTTTTTCGTTTCTCGAGATGGCGGTATATGTAATCGAGAAAGCTGACAAGACAGTGAGTAGTAGAGGAAGTTTTCATATTGCCAAATTGCTGAGGGTCTACGACTCCTGCAATATCAGCATAAGCCCAGTGAAAACACAAAACTTTCAGATTGCTGGGTATTGGGGGATTGCACAGGGTTGTGTGTGTGTGTGTGTGTGTGTGTGTGTGTGTGTGTGTAAGGGTCCAGGGTG